AGCTCTGAGTGCTAACAGCTAACAGCTGTGTTGTGTTTTTGGAGTTCTCTGAAGATGACGTCACGGCTCCGCCTACACTGCTTTACTATAGTAACTACCCCAGTTCCTAAACTGTAATGGAAGCGCAGCATGAAGTGAGTCGGCCCTGTTAAGGCCAAGCCGTACCGAGCCGTACCGAGCGTGGCCGAGGCCGACCGTGTAGTGGAACTGCGGCATTAGTGACAGAAGTTTTCAAAAGCGTTTATGGTCCACGGTACTTCCAGTCCAACGCGTAATTCATGCACAGCGTTAGAAAAGCGGGCCTTCAAAATAAAAGTTAGACTTTTTTCCAAAAAAAAAAGAAAACCCACTCTAAACAGGTCCGCGACCCACCCCTGTTATAGAGCACCTGACCATAAGCTGGTCTTAACGATAAATCATGTTTGACACCTCGACATGATTCACTTCAAGCTGCCAGCAGCTCATTCTTCTAAACCTACAAGCTGCTGCTACTGAAAACTGACTATAAAAGCTTTAAGAGTTGAACGTGAATATATCCACTTCGCACACATCCTGCACAGCCTCGCTCTCCACAGGGACATTTCAACGTCCTTCTTCTTTGTTTCCATCAGGTGAGCGTCTGAAGAAAATCACAGAAACTGTGTGTAAAGTTACAGCTGGAACTGTGACTCTAAATGTGGAGTGGGCCTGTTTGATCTGATGCAGGAGGCTCTAACCTGACTGGACTTCACACCAGGTCTTCCTGCTCCTCTGTGTCTTCTGTCTGTGCTGCAGTGTCTGAGTCATTCTCATACTCAGGAATAGAGTCCAACTGATAAAGAGAGAGAAGACACAATTAGACCCTCATTCATGAAACCTGCATATACTTTAAGATTTTATAAAACATTTTTCATATTTTAAAGTTGATGCTAATTATTTCTTGGCTAAATTCATTTCTGGTTTCAACTCAGGAAGTTGTCTTTAATCACAAGTTCTCTTCACATTGCATTTATGAGCCACAGTATAGCTTTGACGAAGGGGAAATGTTGTCAATAGGTCCGCTCTCTCTCACCTCTATCTCTTCAGGTTCATGAGCTTCAGTGGTGGAGCGCAGAGCTTTCTTCTTCCTGGATTAAGGGGAACAACAAATACAGATTTTATTTCATAACAGTGAACTAAAACACGTAAGAAGGATGTTTAAACTGATGAATTTCTATTGTTGTACCTCATCCACAGACTCAGGAGAAACACAGGAATCAGAATCAAGACCCCCAGAGTCGTCCTGATGATATTCACTATCATTGTTGAACTCCCTAGAAACATGAATACATATGTGATACTTCTAACTACTAGATTGATGAATCACATTGTCAGTGTCATCCACCTCTGACACCATGGAGGATCCTCCCTGAACACTGACATTTTGAATATGCTCGGGTTGTTTCATATTACAATGTGAATCAGTTCTGTTGAATATAGAGAACTTACCTGTTCCAACACTCAGATGAAAGGTGGAGTTACTACGTCCTAACTCGTTCTGGGCTCCACAGGAATAATTCCCACTGTGATCAGCTCTGAAGTCAGTGATGGTGAAGATCTGTCCTGAAGCTTTTGGAGAGTCTTCATCCTCCTTGTACCAGGTGTAGTTAGCTGCTGGGTTAGCATCACTGCTACAGGTCAGAGTCACTGAACTGCCCTCCTCTATCTCAGCAGAGGGACTCACTGACACAGAGGGGAGCTTTGGAGCATCTGGTAGAAATAAAATAAATCAACAAAGATTTGTAAAAATACACTATGTTGAATTGAAATGAAAAATAGTTATCTGTGTGAACATCTGACTTTCGAAGTGTTTTTTGACAGGTATAGAGCTAAAGACAACAATTATGTTGTATACATATTTCGTTTTGTGTTAATATTTTATTTTCTGTATTACTGCTGGCTTGAATACCCTGAACATACGTGCATTATGTGGGAGCCAATTGTAGATACAACTTAATTTTCATCCTCTACTGTAGCTGCTCTCCATCTCATTGACCTACAGCAGCAGACTGTGAACAAAGTAGTCATTGGGTGCATGATGCTTTTTAAATCATCTGGGTTTTACTCACATTTCACATCAATAGAGATGGATTCAGATCTTGTACTCCCCAGCTTATTCTCAGCTCTACAGTAATACTGTCCAGAGTCAGAGGACTGGATGGAGCTGAGGACGAGACGTGGTCCTTCATTGACAGAAGAAAGGTCTGCATTTCCATCCTTCGTGTACCAGGTGTAGTTAGCTGCTGGGTTAGCATCACTGCTACAGGTCAGAGTCACTGAACTGCCCTCCTCTATCTCACCAGAGGGACTCACTGACACAGAGGGAGGCTTTGGAGCATCTGTGGGAGATTAGTTTGCACGATTAATGAAAAGATTGCACCCAGCTCATCAGGAAAACATCTCCCCATCAAGGGTCTCAAAATTAGCAGAATGTGAAATTGAAGTAAGTGAGAACCCTGAAAGACTCTTTTCAAGTGATTAAAACATGACAATTATTGATAAACTGTATTCCCTCACATTTCACATCAACAGAGTTCATTTCAGATGTCCGTTTCCCCAGCTCGTTCTCAGCTGTACAGAAATACTGTCCGGAGTCAGAAACATGGATGGAGCTGAAGAAAAGCTTTGGTTCTGTAGTGAGAGGAGGAAGTTTCTGATTTCCATCCTCCTTGTACCAGGTGTAGTTAGCTGCTGGATTAGCATCACTGCTACAGGTCAGAGTCACTGAACTGCCCTCCTCTATCTCAGCAGAGGGACTCAATGACACAGAGGGGAGCTTTGGACCATCTGGAGGAAATACCATAAATCAACAAAAGTGGGTAAAAATACACTATGTTGAATTGTGTATTGAAATGATAGTTATCTCTGTGGGAATCTGGAATTTCGAGTTTTTTTTTCACAGATATAAAAAAACATTATGTTGTGTATATACAGTATATCGTTTTCTGTATTACTGATGGCAGGAATACCCTGAACATACGTGCATATGTGGGAGCCAATTGTAGGTAAAACTTCATTGTCATCATCTACTGTAGCTGCTCTCCATCTCATTGACCTACAGCAGCAGACTGTGAACAAAGTTGTCATTGGGTGCATGATGCTTTTTAAATCATCTGGGTTTTACTCACATTTCACATCAATAGAGATGGATTCAGATCTTCTACTCCCCAGCTTATTCTCAGCTCTACAGTAATACTGTCCAGAGTCAGAGGACTGGATGGAGCTGAGGACAAGACGTGGTCCTTCATTGACAGAAGAAAGGTGTGCATTTCCATCCTTCGTGTACCAGGTGTAGTTAGCTGCTGGGTTAGCATCAGTGCTACAGGTCAGAGTCACTGAACTGCCCTCCTCTATCTCAGCAGAGGGACTCACTGACGCAGAGGGGAGCTTTGGAGCAACTGGAGGAGATTAGTTTGCACGATTAATGAAAAGATTGCACCCAGCTCATCAGGAAAACATCTCTCCATCAAGGTTCTCAAAATTAGCAGAATGTGAAATTGAAGTAAGTGAGAACCCTGAAAGACCCTTTTCAAGTGATTAAAACATGACAATTATTGATACACTGTATTTCCTCACATTTCACATCAACAGAGTTCATGTCAGATGTCCGTTTCCCCAGCTCGTTCTCAGCTGTACAGAAATACTGTCCAGAGTCAGAAACATGGATGGAGCTGAAGAAAAGCTTTGGTTCTGTAGTGAGAGGAGGAAGTTTCTGATTTCCATCCTTCTTGTGCCAGATGTAGTTAGCTGCTGGGTTAGCATCACTGCTACAGGTCAGAGTCACTGAACTGCCCTCCTCTATCTCAGCAGAGGGACTCACTGACACAGAGGGAAGCTTTGGAGCATCTGGAGGAGAAGTGTTTAAAGTTATCAGCATGGAAGGCTAGAAATAATGGCAACTTGCAAATTGTTTTTCACAAACACAATGCAAAACATGTTAAAGCTTGGAGCATCTGGAGGAGATAACATGAACACATTTCAGATTTAATTCCACGGTGAAAGATATTTTAATGAGCAATAGTTTAATAAAACACAGAGTGGGTGGTTAACTTGATTCCATCCTTTATCAGAAATCTAAACACTTTGAGGGAACGTGTTAACCTTTATATCATGGAAGAAGTTTCCTTCATAATTCTCCTTTATTCTTCTTTCTAGTATCATCCCTCGTAGCAAGAGTATTTTACCTTTTTTTAAATCAAACAGAAAACCTAGAGCCCTGGTTCAGTGTCTTTGGACACTGCCATGTTTGCTGGCGACCTCTGGTGGGTGAATAGATAAATGATTGCAATGATGATATATGTTATATTGTATGTTTATGTTATTATGTTAGTGGAAGACTTTGAGTAAACTCACACACTGAAGGAGAGGGGAAGTCCTCATATCCCTTCAAAGCACAGGAATAACTGTCTGCTGACTCATATCTGAAGTCTGCATAAGAAGATGTATTTTCCTTGACTTCCTGTCCATTCTTAAACCAGATGTAAGAAGTGTTACCAGGTAGACAACTGCTGAGACACTGAAGGAGAGTAGACGATTTTGATCTGTTCACCTGCACCTGGAGATCTGAATAAAGCTAGAATTAACAAAACTGTCATTATATTCATACATAAATATAAATAAAAACATTCACACTATTTTGCAAGAAGTTGAAATTAAGAAATTAATTGTTATAACTCAGTTATTGTTATAAACCCAGTGTAAATGTTACCTGTAACAGACAGAGTGGTTCCAGGAACACCCAAGTGGGTATATTGCCTTGTTTCGATGCTGAACCAGTAAACAACTGAGTCGCTCTCTCTCAGGTTTCTGATTCTCAGAGTGCAGATGTTGTTTTCACAGAGATCCTCTACACGACCTGCATACTCTGAGTCTGTTTTCAGATCTACAGGTTTAAGATCTTTCCATGTAGTGAACCAGCATGTTTTCTCCACTGTGTTAACACGACCATTTGATGTAGATGGGTATGTGAAGCTGCATCTTATCTCCACTGTTGATCCTTTCACTGCACAGATCTTAGTAGAAGAGTAAGTCACTCCATACTGACCCTGAACCACTGTAACACAGAGCACACCACAATCAAAGTTAATCTATAAATTGTTGAGAAATTGCCTGATCAGTACTTTCAACAAAGAATGTAAAAATAAACATTTTACAAACGTTACTGGGATAGAGCAGAAAAACACATGTGAATTCCTTCTTAGGCACTTTAAAACCAATGATACTCTTTGACTTTGTTGTTTCTTAATCAAACCAGGCAGAACAGAAGTCTACACAAAAAGGGTATGTTCAGTTTGACACAAGATTGGAAAATGCCTTCATATAAATGAACAGTGAATGATTAGCGATCATATTAATTAGAATAGTGTGAGATTCTCTGAACAGTTTCCTCTCTGTTCGCTCTGTGGTCAGGTTGCTGCTGAGGTAAGTGTGACAAATAACAATGAATGCAGAACACTGAGGTGTGAGCAGCTTCTGTCTGATATACAGATAATAAAAAGAAGAACACTGCTCACTTATTCCCACATGTGACCTGATTTGAACAAGTCCCACATTTTCCCAGAATCCCCTCTGTTCATGTGATGAATGTAAGTGTAGATGTACAGTACCTGATACAGAGAGCAGGAAGACAACTAATCCACTCGCTGCTGCAGTTAGACTCATAGCTGCTCCTCTCCTCTCTGTGAGACTATAAAACATGTCAGATTAAATAATGTTCACAGGAGGTATACAGAATCATTACATCAAGAAACTGTTTCTACTCACAGTGAAGGAGGAACGATGTGTTCAAAGATAACTTTCCTCTGTCACCAATGAGTAGAAGACGGATATCAGGCTGTTAAGAGACTAGATTTCCTTCCTCTTTAGATTATTAATATGCATGATGAGCCAAATGCCAGTAACAGCCATTACACAATAAAGTAATGTTTTTTAACTAAATATAAACTTTTCTGAAATAAAATAAACTATGGTTAAAGACCCGTTTTGCTGCTTCTATACTACTGACTGCTGCTTATATACTACTGACTGCTTATATACTACTGACTGCTTATATACTACTGACTGCTTATATACTAGTAACTGCTTATATACTACTGACTGCTTATATACTGCTGACTGCTTATATACTACTGACTGCTGCTTATATACTACTGACTGCTTATATACTGCTGACTGCTTATATACTACTGACTGCTTATATACTACTGACTCAGGGAGGTGGATGACCCGAGTGTAAGGCAGAGACAGAGAAGGTCTCGAAACAGAAAATGACCTTTATTGAAGGTCGTCTTGATATACAGCGTACAAACCAGAACTCACTCCTTAGTAATCTCAAAGAACCCACAAAACAAACAGAAAAAACAGAACTTAAAAACATGCATAACGAATCAAAGGACAAGACAGAGCTAGGCAGGCAGGAAAAACACAATGGTACCCGGTAAACAGAATCAAAAATCAAAAAGGAGGGAAAACACAGAGACAGGAAGCAGACACAGACATAAGACAGGGGGTGAACACTTTTGAAAATAAAACAGGAAAACAGACAGACCGTCACAAAGGGGGAAATAAGTGTTTTAGTTTGGGTGAACTGACCCTTTAAAGCAGACGGTGGAGGGAGCTCTCTGAGTGATGAAGCCTGAATGTGTCTCACTTAAGATCCTCCACTAGAGGACAGTGAAACATCAGATACTGAATCAGTACCCTGAGACACATTCTAACATCCATCAGTGATTGTTTTGACAAATGTAAATGCATATTTAGTTTTTAAATATTAAATGAGTGAAACCTATTGCCATTTTAGTCTTTTAACATTAGAGGTAATTTACTGTATATTAGACTTACTCTTCACAACGAGGACCAACATATTTGACATATTGGAAAGCAACTCTTTAAAACGTGTTTTACTGGAATAACGACTCATAATCAGGGCGTTGCACAAGCTTTTCCAAATGGACTTTTCTCCAGCATGGACCACTCCTCAACAATATGTCACTTCAACTTTTAGTACAGGTATTTTTGTTCATTGAGCACTGATGAAACGTAAGAGGAAGGGGAAAGGCTGGTCTGGAGGACCTACTGTAATCCATGCAGGGTATAGGAGTGCTGGGTTTAGTAGTGAACTTTCCTTATAGAAGTGCTCTGTATATTCTATACTATATTCTCACCTTATTTTTGGCTACCAATGAGACACATATGACTCCAACTTGACTACACCTATGGTCAAGTTAAACTGACCATGTTTAGTAGATGACATTTGTAAACCTAGCCCAGCAGGCACATGCACACATAGACATCAACGTGGGCTTGAGCCCCTGCCCTTTTTCTTCCTCCAGAGAAAGTTCCCTTTTTTCCCCCTTTTTTTAATTTTTATGAATGAATATATATCTTCTGCTGTTTGCGCACAGTTTCCCTTTCCAAAAATATATTGATTGAATACAAAATTAAAATATCAGGTCGGGAGATTAGACTGTGAAATTGGCTATGCTCAAGTATGTAGACAAGCTAACGTCGAAGTAGTGTATGTGAAATCAACCTCACAATAAGATGTGTGTATATTACAATTATTAATGTCATATTTCAAGATGATTACTTAGATATTACAATATGGTTGGTTGAGCTGGAGTTCATTATTGAGCTTACACGTTAACACCACAGTCATCTGAAGAACGAACCCAAACCTTGTTGTTTTTATTAATTGCATTACCAAATTGGTATCAAATAAACAGTAAGCATTGGTAACACAACTTCCAAAGTTACAGTAAAATAAAAAGGACCCTGACTCGGGCAATACACAATCCAACATGTTCAACAGAAGATAATAAGTTATATTGTTTGTACATATGGTTTTTTACATATATATCTGTTTGTTTAAAGTGTCCAAGTGATGCAGACAGGCTGGACCAGAGAGTGAGAGACAGAACTGGACTACTCACAGCAGTGAACTTCAGCACAGGTACAAATACTCTTTTTTCATACTGTACAAAGAATCAAGAAAGATATTGGTTTAAATAAATGAAGTATTGACTTTAATACACTGATATACATTCCATTAAACAATACTAAAAACGTGGTAAAAGTTATTCTTTCAGTGAGACAACAGAGCAAGCTTGTTTTAATAACAGTTAAATATTATTTTGATAATAAAATACATTTCAATGTTGATGAATTTCATACTGTTCATTCATAATCTGATTGTCTTTGTAGCTCACTGTTAAAATAAAAAAAAACATTACAATTACAAAATAATTATATCTACAGCCCCTAAAAACACAAACACACCTCTTTCATAAATAACACACTTGTTCTGCAATAATATGTTTTATGTTTCCTGTAATTTTTGTTAGGAAAGGACATGCCTGAAAGACACGACTCAGCATCTCCTCTTTCTCAGAGGGTCAAGAAAAACATCCAATAGGAAAATTAAAAGCTGATGTTAAGAGCAGTACAGGACATTCACTAAGAAACTATTTTTATTGTGAAAACAGTCAGCTGATCGAATGCACCTATTTCCACATCTACACTCCATCAGCTGATTATTTCTATTTGCCTCACTTCATGAGCTTCACAACATATACCTTGTACCGCAGAGTTTGCAACGCAAATAAATGGGGCCAATCTTCAGTCAGATGTGAATGTGTAATCTAACATTTTCAGTAAGAATAATGGACAAAAGGAGTGCAAATACAAGTTCAATTTATTGAAATGTGAACCAAAAGTTAATCATACATCTTTTAAATAAAAAACACATATGGACAGAAGGTGTAAACCTATTAAATGTATAAGTAAACACATTTAGTCAAATAAAGTGACAGACTAGGCCTGATCAGGTGGTATCAGCTATGCATGGGCTCCTCCATCAGGCCTGATCCTCCTCACAGAGGAAAGACCCTCAGTCCTCTCCGGCCAAACCAACAGACAGGACGTCCATCACACGGAGGTTTCTCCCTGAAGTCTCTGCAGCTCTCTGGACACCACGCTGTCTCAATCCATCCACACTGAATATGAGGGGAGAAAAATGAAAATAATAAATGCTTAGTTTAGACAATAAGAAATATAAAGTTGACTGTTGAGTTGCTCAGTTTTTTTAGATTGTCAATACTATTACTGTATAACTAATATCTCAGGTTAAGAGGCACCTTCAAATAAAGATTGGTCTTTAAATACATTTTGTCTTTTGAATTGTTTGTCTAAAGTCAAGGATCTAGAACTGGTACTTATAGTTTTAATGATACAGTCTGGTTATAATGCTGTTTGGAGGAGGCCTCACAGGTAAGAACACTAACTAGCTATCATCACATGTACCTTAGCTTAACTTAAATGTATTAAACGTATAATTAAGTGATGGCAAAATATAAATAACTAATGTCATGCAAACATATTAATATTTGCTTGATTCCAGTGTTGAATTTAGCACAATTGCATACAAACGTTAAGGGATTTTAAGATTCTGAAGTATTATGCTAAAAACTCAATAACTTAGATTATTATTTATAGTTTTGCTGAATAGTCTCATGTCCGCTTACCTTAGAAACGTAAAATGCGACGGCAGTGTGCAGATGGGGAGCATGTTAGCTTAGCTTGGTAGCTTCAGCTAGCTCTGGAACTTCCAGCCCGGTGGCAGCAGGTCCCGCCTCGGCTCCGCCTCTTTGCCCTTATTTGGAGCAGGCTGGAGCAGGCGGGAGTGGAACTCTGACGCCACTGTCGAGCCGTTAGTGGCCGACTCCGCCTACTAAGGGCTTCTCGGCAACTCTGTAGAATCCTATGGGTGACGTCACGGACCCTACGTCCATTTATATATACAGTCTATGCTTCAGACAGACAGGTAGCAGCACCTCCCACTTTACTGTCCCATGTTATGCCGGCTTTTCTTGGCTTATTTTGAAGGTGAGTGGTGATGAACAAATTACTAAATTGCCAGTGCCTCGAGTTTACAGCTAATTAACTAAAAGACAATAACAAATATAGTTAACTAAGGTAGGCTACTAGCTAATGGATAAGTTAGCTCAAGGTTTAGCTAAGACCATTTATCATGGGCATACAGGCTAATGTACTGTACTTAAGGGGAGACACTTAAGGTGAATACAGTAAAATGTGTATCTAATAACGTCATCACAATCGCCACATTGATATGCAAATTAGGCGTTAACTAGGCCTAATTAAAATGCGCTAATTTGCATGCAGTTACCAAGGCATGGCAGGTGAAACGGATAAAACAAAAAAACACATCACCTCACAACTTCCCCAGATAGTTACTTACGTCAAGTCAGTATTTTCCCCTGAAATGTTATGTTTAAATGCAGATTAGCTTTAAATCTATAGATGAATTCAGACATGGTAGTAAAACGAACACCATTATATGTGTTTTTTGGAAGTTTTATTTCCATTAGAGTGAAAGAAAACATGGAAGCAAAATAGACCAAAATAACAAGTACATGAAAAAACTATATTTTTGCCTGTAATGTCCTTAAACAGTAACTTCATAATTTTGATTGTTGGCTGCTCATTTAATAACTATTAATTTGACTAGTTTGTTGTCTGCTCTTGTGCGTAGTGAATACTAAAGAAGACCATTGTCTCTGTGTTAGCTGATTATTTTGTAGAATTGTGTTGAGTATTAAACAATTGCGTGAGTGTGAGGGTATTAAAATACATTGGTCAGTAAGTCAGAGATGTGCAACTATATTTAACTTTTTGTTTTAAAACACTTTTTTATAAATGATTATGGGAAGTGCCCTTTTTCTCACTTGAGCACCCGCCCCCCAAAATGTCTGTACGTCCCTGTAGCCCAGTCTGAT